GCTAATTCCATTACTAATTTTTGCCTCCAAATTGTTTTGTCATGGAAATTTTCATCACTAATTTCATGACTAATTCTATTTTATCACAATTTCATTGCTAATTCATCACTAATTTTTAATTTTATTATTTTAGATTATAATCTTACAACAACTTATATAATAACATAATTAAGAATATAATTATCTAAATATATTTTTAATTATAAAAAAATTAATATATTTGTGGAGTTGGTTTCAATAAAGGTATCATCATAACATCATCATTCGTATCATCATTATATAAATATTGAGAATAGGAAGACAGTTTCTTTAAAAACTTGTTTATATTTCATTAAAATCAATTCCTCTTAATTATTAATAATAATTCAAAAAATATAATAAGAATATTAATAACTTTCTTATGCAAACTAATATAAGAAAGAAATAATTTTATCATATGTGCAATATATTGAAAGATATAATATATGATAGAAATTCAAAATCAAAAAATAATTTATATGAATGCCTCAATTCATTATCATAAATCAAACTAATATTGAAGTAAATTTTGAATTTCAATCATTAAAAAATAAAATTTAACCATGATATAATTAATACCTATGATATAGATTGATTTTGGTCTTCAATATAAAAACAAATGGTATATACAAATAATTTTAAGAAACTAAAATTTATAGGATACATATAAGTAGTAAAATGTTGTGTATCATAATATATTCAAATCATTTAATTTCTTTTATATAAAATAATTTATTAGATTTTATTATAGTAGCTATTTTTTAAATAACAAGATTTTTTTACTAATTATAAATAGTTTTCATCAAATATATAAAACACATATAGATAATATAATATAATGTAATATAATACATATATAGTTAAATCATACATCCTATCAATATTAATTAAAAAATTAAATTAAAAAAATATTTATGAAAAAATTATTTACTATTCAAAATTCAAAATTAGTGTAACTGAAAATTAAAATGATTTTGAAATTATTTTTTAAAAATAAAAATTTATAAAATAAAGAGTAAAATAACATTTAAAAAATATTTTCTCATTAAAATGTTATGATTAAAATTATTATATAGTTATTTTTAGTTTTTAATAATACTCCTCCGGTCCTAAATGTAAGACCCTTATACTAGTGTGTATAAGGGTCTTACATTTAGGACCGGAGGAGTATATATAATTGTTTGTGTAAAAGAATATTATATATAATTTTGCATAATAAGTCAATAGGTTTATTACAGTTTAATTGGTAAAGCAGCATGCTCGCATAGACAAGGTCTTGAGTTCGAGCCATAGAGAAATCACTTTGAAGAGGAATTATGTGGTAGCAACACATGACAGCACAATGTGGCATGTGAGGTCATCACTAGTAATGAGGTGGCAACTGATGGAGGTGCCACATCGCATTTTAAAATTTTTTGAAAAATCAAATTAGTGATGGAAAATTTTCGTCGATAATTAGCAAAGGAAAAATTTTATCACTAATTAGATTAGTGACAGAAGAATTAGTGACGGAACAATTTATAGCACTAATTTGATTCTGTCACTAATTCCGTTGCTAAATAAAAATTCCGTCGCTAATCATGTATTTTTTCGTAGTGCATCTTATGGCTTTTTGGCTTTACAACAAGTTTTGCTATTTACTTTCAATAAATATATTCATAGGGCATTTGTTTGAATATAACTTCTAGCCATATTGTAACCATTACTCCTTCAAATTCTTTCAAGTTGGGCATCAGCCATATGTAATCATAAGTATTGATTAGAACTCCAAGTTCCATCAAAATTAGCGATGTTAGGTCAGTAAGGGATGTATAAAAGAATATCAACTGAAATTTCATGTTCTATTAAACATAGTGGCATTAGGTCACTGAGAAATAAATAAAACAAATTTCTCATATCACAAGTGATTCAAGAGTTATAATATTCATATCAAAAATAAATTATAGTGTAAAAATACAAAGTAATAATAATCTCCAATCTTAGTCATGGAAGCCGATGCTATAAACAACAGTAAATGATTCTTTTAATTCCATATAATAACTTAGATTATCTCAGATAAATTGAACTGGGATACATATACTTTGAAACACCATATATATGATGCTTGAGATATTTTTATTTGAATAGAGTAAAGGATACTTTAGAAAAATTATAGAGACTATGCTCTAAAGTTATTCTAAAAATCAAAGGTATATCATACGTACCTTAATTAGAGCTTTGTGCTGATACTGTGTTATAAAACTAAAGAAAGAGTAGAGAATAAGAGAAGAGAATAAGGGAGAATATAAGATATGTGTATTTCTCATTCCATTCAAGATGTTGAATACATGATATATGACCTCTATTTATATGCACAACTTTACACTTTTGACTGAATCTACATATTACATAATAATAGGAAATAATTCTAGGATATAAAGATAACAGGAGATATTGGAGATAATAGGAGATATAAGAGATAATGAGAGATATATAAACATCCGTAAAGATATTATTGTATTCATAACAATATTTTTATTATTCTGATTTTTTACCTATAATAAAATATATAATGTTCTCTGTAGTTTTCTATCTCCTTTAGCAAGAATTTTCCTTTATAGATCTAAGGGGTTGTATATTATCTTCGTCTTTGGCTCTAATTAAGAGGTTGTATATTTTTTTAAGTAGTTTTGTCATTTTTGTGTAATATTTTAATGATTCTGATTTTTTACGCGTAATAAAATATATAACGTTCTCTGCATTTTTCTAGCCAAAGAATTTTCCTTTGTATATGATACATGGTTAAGCATACGCATACCACCAAATTCCTTTATATATGGTTCATGGTTAAGCATGCGCATACCACCTAATTTAGTGTCGATTAACAAATCAGGTAAGAGCACCAGCATCCTTTGACCGTACATACAGCGTGTTTGTTTATTAGTAGTGTTAAAATTAGAAGATTAAAATGAAATTAAAGAACAAAATTGAAATCTTTTATAAAATTAAATTACTAAATGTGTATAAGTGTACAATCTATATTTTTCGGGGAAAAAAATTCTTCCTTAAAATCATTTTACGTATCCTCGTCCGTCTTGTTACAAGAGAAATTTTGAAAACCTGTCATTTCCTTCTTGAGATGAGCTTGAAGCATTAATGGTACTTTGACTAAGAATCCTTACATGATTGGTTGAGGAGAGGAGAAAGACAGGGATCATTGACATCAATCATCAATCATATTTTTGAAAACTTATAATATCCTATTCGTTTTAAAAACGGATCGACTATAACATTAAGACATCTAAGTATATTTAATTGATGAGATTTGAATAATATTTTGATTGGGATTTATGTATATTGAATTAAATGAGGAGTATCATTATTAAATGGGATTTCAATTTGAGGGTCAAATGAAGGAATTAATAATTAATTTGAGTTTGAATGATATCTTAATTGGGATTTGAATATATTGAATTAAATGTGAAACATCATAATTAAATAGTACGTTAATTGAGCTTAAATAGAGAAATAAATAAATAACTTTAAATTTTTATATTGTCTTCTTAATTTTTGAATTTCTAATTCAAATTTCATTTGAATGAGTAAAAAAAATTACACTTCTATAAAAAGTGAATATAATTTTGAACTGCCTTAGATAATATAATTTATTATCATTTAAAATTTAATCAAATATTTTAATCCGTGCATTGCACGGGGAAGAAATATCTAGTTATCGTTCATAACTATATTTATATAGTAACCATGCTAAAAAAAAAGTATAACAATTATCCATAAAGTTGACGAATTATAATACTCAACATCATCTAACATTATGTGAGATATTGGTCTTTCTCTGTACAAGTTGTCCATTCTTTTTATCCTAAAATTATATTAGATTTTATATGTTTTTAGATGCTTTAAAGTAAGAATGAAAATATCCTAATATTGGCCTTTTTCGGTTGTTGGTCCTCTATTGGTCCTTGTATATGTCTGAGATTTTATATTAATGAAAATATGATCTTATCTGGTTAAAAAGATGCTTTAGAGAAAGAATTCTTGTTCACCAAATTCCTTTTCTATAGAAAAAGTGTAACTAATTTGCATAAATTAAGAAAATTATCCAAGTTAGTTATTTGTAATAAATAGGTGTTGTTTTTCTTAAAATACCATTGTTAATTATGTATATTAGTGTAGAATTACTATTTGATGAAATATTTTAATATATAACTACCATAAGGATTACTTTTAAAAAAATAAATAAATATGAGAGATAAAATAAATTAAGTTCTTATAATTAGAACCAAATTAAATGTTAAACTCATTCTTATATATTAAGAATCGGAGGTTGTAGTACAGTTGAAATTGTTGACCGAAAGTGAATGGACAATATGCCTCCACGTAGTTAATCACCCAATAGTCAAGTTTAGGTTGGAGTTTGATAACAAAAATAAAAGTTTTTGGTTCAAAAATTATTTCGATCTTAAACGACGCAATAATGCCCATTAATCCCCGAACATGAATATGAAAAGATCATTTGCAAGTCATGAATATAGCTTACTTTTTAGAAAATAAGGTAACTGATTTCGGTACTCGTCTTATTATGGAGAAATTATCTCTATTATAAGAACATGCCCAAAGCTTCTTTTGAAATCAGAAGTTATCTAAAACATGTACACTGATTTTAAAATTTAGTTGAGGAAAGAAAAAGAAAAACCTGAAATTGTGAATTTCCAATTCAGAAAATTAAGAATTAAAAATGACATAAAAAAATAAAGCTAAATTGAAAATTTAAAATTTAAGAAAAATAGTGGGCAAATTGATTACAGAGAAAAGTCTGAATCGAGGCACTACAATTCAGATGATTCGAAAGGGATGGAATCTTTAAAGAACGAAGATCTGGAAGTTATTGATGTGGATTCTCATGCTTTTATCTTTGAATTCCGTAGAAGAGAGGACTATATGAGGATTTTGCAAGGCAGACCTTGGTCGATTCAAGGTATTTTACTAGACATTCAGATCTGGCAAGGTTATATGGCGTATAGGGAAGTTAATTTCAGTTCATCACCTTTTTGGATTCAATTTCATGATTTACCTTTAGGGGCAATGGATGGGGGAAATGCAGTGAATTTGGGTTCAATGATTAGTAAGGTTGTTATGATAGTGGTTCCGAGAAGAAATGGTTTGCTGGTGAGGAATTTTTTGAGGGCAAGGGTCTTAGTTGATCTGAACGAACCTTTAATTACTGGTATGTGGACCGAGAGGCCAAGGAAGGATCCAATATGGGTTAAGGCGAGGTATGAACGGTTGCAGCACTTTTGTTTTTGATGTGGCAGATTTGGTCACGATCAGAGAATTGTTTGGCTAATAGAGATGGTAGTGATGATGACAAGAATGGGAATTATGGGAACTGGTTGAGTGTTCAGGCAGCCAGACCAATTGAATGTATTTTGAAGTGTTATAAGGAAGATTGGGAAGAGTTCGTGGCAGACGGAAGGTAGAGAAAACAAGAGGAGAAGTCAATTGAAAGTGCGACAGTGAGAGAAGCTGAGGTAAATGAAATTTATAAGAACGAGAAAGGGAAGATGCAGATTGAGGAAAGAAAAAAGAAGGAAGGAGAGAGAAAGGGTTTAGATTTGAAGTCTGTTTTGACTAGTGAAGAACAGAAAATTGCTGAGATTGAAATAGTGGTGTTGGATAAGGAAAATAAAGGCGATTTGACAAGAAATAAAGAAAAAGAGGAAGTTAATTCTGGTATTTCATCAGAACAGAGAGAGGATTTATCTAAAGCTATAGTGGTGTATGGTAATGTCTCGCCATTAACTGAAGTCACGAAGGGATTGAACAGAATTTTAGCGGATGAGGAAGGGATACATTTTAATAAAAGAATAAAGCTGTGTTTTGAAGAGGGAGATTGCTCTGGAATCAAGAATGAGTAGGTGGCAGAGAAGAAGGTAGGAAGAAGAAATGTTATAACTTTTAAGAAGAAGGGAAGAAGATTAAATGAAAGTGGGTCAGATCGTTAAAAAGAGATGAGCGGTGTGAGGGGGGAAATACAAATTTTGAATAAAGAGACAGTAAAAAGGATGAGTGATCTTTTGGCCGAAGGTTTTGGTGGTTAGCCTTCAACAGCCACCAATGCACCGTGAAGATAATTAGTTGGAATTGTCAAGGCTTGGGAAGGGCCCTGACAATGAATAAACTGAGGGAGGAAAGTTTGAAATTTAAGCCCTCAGTAATCTTCCTAATGAAGACAAGATTAAAAGGAAGGAGGATTGTTTCTCTTAGAAGAAAATATAGAGCAGAGTAGGAATTTTATGTAGAACCAAGAGGTAGGAGTGGTGGTTTGGCTTTGTCCTGGTCTAATGAAGTAATGATTAATGTTTGGTACTATTCAAAAACCATTATTCAAGTGAGTTTGGATTCTACAGTACTGAGAGTTCCCAAGTACATCACCTTTGTGTATGGTGCACCTACTGTTGAGGAAAAGATGAAAGTTTGGGATAAGATGAGAAGTATAGCAGCTCGCATAAATGAGGCATGGCTTTGTTTAGGTGATTTTAATGATGTAGCCTCAAGGTAAGAGAAGTTGGGTAGGTTTCCAGTAGATACTTGAAGATTATTGAATTTCCAAAATATGTTAGCGGATTATGAATTGCTCGATTTGGAGTTTCAGGGTGCAAAATGTACATGGAGTTATAAGAGTTTGGGGAGTGAGAATATGAAGGCAAGAATAGACTGAGCAGTAGCTAATGCAGATTTCAGATTTATGTTTCAGAGCAATTTGGTTAGTCATATTGAGCCGGTGGGTTCTGACCATCAGATGCTTATAGTTGATTGTGAATACAAGTATAGAAGAGTGCCTAAAGTCTTCAGATTTGAGTCTATATGGGCTGAACATGATGATTTTTTAACAGTAGTAAGAAGAGGATGGAGAATGGAAGAAAGTACTTGGGGAACTAAAGTGCTGGATGTGGTTTGCAGATTAAAAAATTGTCAGAAGATGGTAGAGCAACTCACTTTGAAGCTGGTGGGATGCAATGAAGGAGTTATGGATGAAATAAAAAAGGCAGAAGCAGAAATGTTGCTTAAGCAGATTGAAGAAGCATGGGATCGTGAGGAAAAATTTTGGTGGCAGCACTTAAGAATTAGTTGGCCCAAGAATGGTGATAGAAACACTAGTTTCTTCCATTCGAGCACAATTCAGAGAAGACTGAGGAATAAAGTGGTAAAATTGCAGAATGAAAACAATGATTGGTTAGAAAATGAGGAGGACATTAATGATGCTTTTGTTGAGTTTTACACAGACCTTTTTGCCTCAGGTGGAAAGGGTAACATGGAGGAGGTACTGAGGTACGAAAAAATATATAACTGAGAAAGATAACCTGGGACTTGAGAAAATGATTACTTCTGATGAAGTTAAGTTAGCTGTATTCCAATTAAATGGTGCGAAAGCACCAGGACTTGATGGATATTCTGGTTGTTTCTATCATGCTGCATGGAATGAAGTGAATGGGGAGATTTTTCAGATGGTACATGATTTTTTTCTTTATAATACCAGTTTGGCACCTATAAATAGTACTAATATAGTGCTGATCCCTAAAGTTGAACATGCAGAAAGGGTAGGCCAGTTTAGACTGATAGGGCTTTGTAATTTTTTGTGTACAAGATTGTTTCAAAAATCTTGTCTGATCAATTGAAGAAGTTGCTGATGAGAATTGTTTCAGAAAATCAGAGGGCATTTGTGGTAGAAAGGTTAATTCAGGATAATATTCTCATTGCTCACAAGGGCCTTTCATTATTTGGAAAATAAAAAGAAGGGGATAAAGCTAGGGATGGCACTGAAAATTGACATGAATATAGCACATGACAGACTAGAATGGCATTTTATTGAAGAGGTCATGAGAAGGATGGGGTTTGGGGAAAGGTGGATTTAGTGGGTCATGGAATGTGTATCTTCTGTAAATTTGAATTTAGTGGTGGCTGGAAAGAAGATAGCAAATCTGAAAATGGAGAGGGGAATTAGACAGGGAGACCCCCTATCTCCATATTCATATTGACTTCTGATATGCTTTCAAGGATGGTGCAATGGCATGCGGACAGAGGGAAGCTGAAAGGCGTCAAATTAGCAAGTGTCCTATTTTAACACTTTTTTTTTTTGGGCTGATGATGCCTTATTTTTTGCTAATGCAAAAGCATGGAATTGTAGGGTTTTGAAGAAATTTTTGAGTGTTATTGTAAGGCCTTGGCACAAGCTGTAAATTTGGATAAATCTTGTGTATTTTTTCAAAAAATGCTAGTGATGATGTAAAAAGTGAAGTATACGAGGTTCTAGGAATTCAAGCCAATGAGAGTCCTAGAAAATATTTGGGTTTGCCTATGTTGTGGGGTAGATCAAAATCGGAGGCTTTAGGTTTTGTTAAAAGTAGAATGAGCAGTAAAGGTTGGAAGCAAAAGTTATTAACTTTTGCTGGGGGGGAGGTATTAATCAAAGCAGTGGCCAATGCAATTCCTGTGTATCCTATGACATGCTTTAAGTTCCCAAAAAAAGTATGCATGGATTTGGATAGTATGGTGGCTAATTTTTGGTGGGGGTCGGAAAGGACAGGAGGGCAGGATTCATTGGAAGGCATGGAAATCTTTAAGCAAAAGGAAAAGTGAAGGAGGTTTGGGTTTTAGAGATCTAGAAATGTTTAATAAAGCATTATTGGCAAAAACAGCTTAGCAATTACTTCAAAATCCTGAAGCTTTGTGGTGCAGGATTTTAAAAGGAAAATATTTTCCTAATGATGACTTTATGCAGGCCAAGAGGGTAGTAGAGCATCGTGGGGCTAGTCAAGTATTTTGGGAGGGAGGGAATTACTTAGAGATGGTTTATGTTGGAAGATAGGAGGGGGACAAAATATTAAAGTTTTCTCTTATAGGTGGATTCCCTATATTGAAGGTTATGGTTTGAGAACTAGGGTTTTATCTGATGATATACCTAATTTGGTTGTTAAAGATTTGATCAGAGATGGAGTGTGGGATTTTGAAAGTGTGGAAGGGTGCTTAAATGAGGAAGAGAAGTGCTGTATTAGTAGAATTAGATTGCCAGTGACTCAATCAGTTGATAAATTGATGTGGCTACACAGCAGGGATGGTAACTACTCAGTAAAAATGGGTTATAAAGTAGCTATAAATAAGTTGCAGGGTGGAGGTCGAAAAGATCCTGGTGGTTCATACGTGCCGTCAAAGCATTTGTGTACTTGCATTTGGAAAATTAGGATGCCACCAAAGGTTCTGCATTTTTTATGGCGTGTTGCAGTTGGGGCTATTGCAACTAAGGAGGCTCTTTTTAAAAGGAAATGTGCGCACAATCCAGTTTGTGAAATATGTAAGGAGCAGGTTGAGATAGTTGAACATTTACTTTTCCTATGCCCATGGGCAAAGCAATGCTGGTTTGGTTCCCCTTTAGTGTTGAAGTTTGATGAAAGTAAGATAACCAGAATTGATAGATGGATAGAAGATTGGATAGTGCAACAAGATGGGCCAAATGATTTTGGAAAGGCCATATTTGCTGCTATTTGTTGGGGCATTTGGCAAGCTAGATGATGTTTTATTTTTGAAGGAATAGAATTAGATGCTTGGACGTGTGTTGCCAATGCAATGAGATTGGTTAATGATCATGATGTAGCTAAGAAGGAAAGATTGATGTGTCGTAATTCAGGAGATATAAGGAAAAAGGAGTGGGAGAAGCCTGATGCTGGGGTGATTAAGCTGAATGTTGATGCATCTTTCTGTCATATAAATAGAAATGCTGCAGGGGGTGTTGTAGGAAGGAATGATAAAGGTGAATTTGTTGAAGGTTTGGGTAAGGTTCTGGAGGCAAACTCACCTTTCATGGCAGAGTGTTTAGCACCGATAGAAGGCTTTTAGTGTGTAAATTTTGTTAATACAGATAAAGTGTTGATAGAAATAGATTGTCATGAGCTTTATAGTAAAGTGAAGAATAGGGAAGTTAACGGCTGTAAATGGGATGGTAGAGATGTTTTGTATCAGTGTGTCATGCTTTGGAACTCTTTGCGTGGTTGTTCAATATCCTTGGTTGCTCGTGCAGGGAATGAAGCTGCTGATCATCTTGCAGCTGTTACTTTGAGAAGAATGGTTCCGTCAAGTTGGTTAACTCAGCCACCATCTTCTCTGTTGCTGGTTTTGCAAAGAGACCTCCGTAGTCTGGCAATCTCTGGCAGGAATAGGACTGGTGTGGGCTCATTAGTTGGTTCTGATTGTATTTTTTAGCTGATATTGGCTATTACAGGTTATTGGTGATTGTAGTTTTCCCTTTGATTTTGAAATAAAATGACTTATTATTCAACTCCAAAAAAAAAAAAGTGTTGGAAGGACTATTTGGAAATTGGAAAGAAAAAGAGTTATGAAAAATAGGAAGATGATAATTTAAATGATGGTAACGAACCATCTTAACTATGGAAATAAGGAAGGGAAAAGCATTATTAGAGCAAATAAATGCGGGAGCGTCAGGTGAGCAAAAATAATATTAGCTCCTTTATTCAATATAACAGCTAATGAAAATTTAATTTGATCTTAAATATAAAATTTTAATTTATTTTGTCTATAATATTTATTCATTTTATTTTTAGTCATTTTTATAATGATTGCATACTTAAAATATTTTAATCAAATGGTAGTTTCAAATTACATGATTAAGTAGGATATTTTAGAAAATACAACATTTATTTATTATACTTGTTTATTTCTATCGATTGTACCCCAAGCGTGCAAATTAAGAAATGTATTAAATTAATAATTTTTTTTTTACATATGCCCTTATTAAAAATATGTTTTATATTTTCTCATATGTCAGCATTTAAATATAGAGTTACCATTTTAAAATCACTGAGTTGGCATTTTTCGTTATTGAGGTTAACACTGTCGTTTAAGCGATCAAAACTATTTTTTGAATTTAAGAAACCAAACTAAAGGCTATGCAAATTTAAATGACCTAACATGTATACTTTAGGCTATTTTTAGGGATCATAATTAAGACGTCTCTGCCGGCCAAAAAAAAAATTTAAGAGGTCTCTAAAGCATTAAAATGTAATTTCCCTTAATTTTTGTGATGCATGCGTCTCTAACTCATATAATGGTGCTTTTTTTTTTTTTTAAAACTCATGTAATGGCCGTTATTGTCTAATATTTATGTTAAGGATTATTAATTAATATTCTAGACCAGATAATCCAAAGAGAACAGAGTTTGTATTTTCAACCACAAACACCTTGGTCCGCGCTTTGCTTTGGAAAATGATATCTTGACCCTGGTTTGTTTTGCTTCCACGTGCTTTTCTCTTTAGTATCTTATTTTTCCGTGCAAAAAGGTAAATAGTAGAGGATATAAATTTTTTTGGATTAAAATATAAATTTGTTATGAAAATTTTCACTCAGAAATACTAGGTATTTGAAATTTTTTTGGGGAGCAAATTCACCCCGAAAGTGTAAAAGTGTAGTAATATTGCCACATGCCGTTAAAATGTTAGCGGTTAATGTCACTATTTTAACAGTTAATGTTATTTTTTTATAGTAGAGGATAATATTGTTATGATTTTAAACTTTCAAAGAAAATTCGCTTCTAAAAATTTTTTTTGGATAGCCAAAACTCGTGCATGAAAACTCTTGACACAAATTTGTATTATTTAATCTAAAGTCCCAAAAAACCTCATTGTAAGAAATTTCATCTGTTTAATTACTAAACTATCCTTATTTTCTTTTTTAGGCATCCATTGACAACTGAAAAGAAAGTCATTAACAACTTAAGGTGTAATGATTAACAACTTAGAGTGTAATGATTAATAACTTAAGTCCCAAAGATGTGATGCATGTATTGTCAATACTTCTCAAGAAAATAATACTTGTTATTAACTCAGAAACTAATTTTTATTATGTATTTGTTAATTGTATAAATACTTGGTTAAGCAAGTAATGAAAGTGAGCTATTCATTTTTCCCATTCATTCAATATCATGGTATCAGAGCCTAAACACATTCTCTTTCTTTCTTATCATTTTTCCCTTTCTCTCTTTCTTTTCTTTTTGCCCTTTGCCCTATTTGACCTTTTCTTTTCTTCAAGCTTCCACGGCTGACTCTACCACTTTGAGTCCACCACTCCTCCTATTGATCAAAGCAGCCCTTACTATATACATCCTAATAAAAATCCCGCCCTTATTCTAGTTGCATTGCCACTTGATGGCCCAGATTTTCATGCCTGAGTGAGAGCGATGCGTATGGCATTACTCTTGAAGAACAAACTCAAATTCTTGACATCACTTGTACTCCCCATTCCCTTGTTTGTGATACTTGTCACTTTTCCAAAGAAAAATGATTATCTTTTCTTGTAAGGTTTAGTATAAGCAATAAGAATTTTGATTTGATCCATGTGGACATTTTGGGACCCTTTTCTGTCCCCTCTATTCAAGGACACAAGTATTTGCTTCCAGTTGTTGATGATTACTCTTGATATACTTGGTTATTTTTGTTGCAATTTAAATCTGATGCCAGAACACAACGTCAGTATCTAACTACCACTGGGCATGACTTAAGCTTTGCCACTCAACAATTGAATCAATTAATATCCTCCCCAACTGACGTCCACCTTCAGGCAGGACATCGGTTCCTAAGATGTATCAAATCATCTCTTTGGTACAAGTCTCCTCTTTTCTTCTGCATCAGGCTTGAAGTTGAAACGTTTTAGTAACTCTGATTGGGCTGGTTGCCTTGACACTCACCATTTTGTCACTGGTTTTGCCATCTTCCTTGTTTCTTCCTTCATTTCTTGGAGAGCTAAGAAACAATCCACAATCTCTAGATATTCATCTGAAGCTGAATACAAGGCCCTCGCTTCAACTGCTTGGGAGCTGTAACGGCTTATATACTTGTTAAACGATTTTCATTTGTCTTATATAGATGCAGCACTACTATACTGTAATGATCAATCTGCCATTCAGATTGCTTCCAATCTCACATTTCATGAATGCATAAACATATGGAATTAGACTGTCATCTAGTCAAAGAAAAGCTACAAGCCAAAATCATTCGTCTACTTCCAATCTGGACCTCATACCAACTAGCAGATGTTTTCACCAAGCCCCCACATCCAACCAGATTTCACGAACTCATATCCAAGCTAGGCATGAAAAATATTCATGCTCCACCTTATTGAGGGGTGTCAGGGAAACAATATTTTTATTAAGTTAGAAACTAATTTTTGTTATGTATTTGTTAGTTGTATAAATACTTGATTAAGCAAAGTGATGAAAGTGAGATGTTCATTCTTCCCATTCATTCAGTATCAATACCTACCAAAACAGTTATGAATCATTATATCTTAAATTGTTAACGATTGCTCTTTTAGTTGTCAATGCATACTTAAAAAAAATATGAGGACAATTTAATAATTGAACAAATGGAATCTCTTACAATGAGATCCTTTAAGATTTTAGATTAATTTAATGATTTCAAGGAGCCTTTTGCTATTTATTTTTTTGATAGGACTTTCATGCAAATTTCTTCCTTTTTTTGGAAAAAAGGAAGGACTATAACAAAGTACCGGTAACATCATAATATGAAAAAATGTGTTTGATGATGAAAAAAGTTCCCCATAACATTGGACTTCAGAAATTAAAACAGACAGGGAGGGACCAATAGGCAAGGATCCAGTTCCGTGCGCAGCAGGGTGATGAGCATAATCAGTGCCACCCACTGTTTCATTAAATGGGAGTTCCTTTTTGTCTTAGTATTTGTCATACACTGTTGTTAACAAGGGCTGTTGTTAATAGGGAAAATTGTAATAAAATCTCACATAAAAAAATTAAATACAAAAAAGTCCCTTAAAATTATTAAATTATTTTAAAGTTCCAAGAGACCTCATTGCAAAAGATTTTATTTGTTTAAAGTATAATTTGGTAATTAAACAAATAAAATATCTTACAATGAGGTCTCTTGGAACTTCAAAATAATTTGATGATTTCAAGAGACATTTTTGTATTTAGTTCTTTTAGGTGAGACCTGATTGTAATTTTCTCTTGTTAATATGTGGTAAGCATAAAGTTAAAGGGAGAGCACATCCTAAAGGACTAGCCTATTGAAAGGGAGAGCCATTGTGAGATTCCCTAATGTGGGACTTATAACAAAGCACCCCCTCGAGAGCTGATCTCCCCAACGGTTCCATTCTACGACACTTTACTCAGCCTTCTTACCTGTTAGAATGTAGCCATTTTCGGTTGGGCAACTCTCAATAAAAGCACCAATATCAGCATAAGGCCAAAAGGAGAGCCCATCCCAAAAGATTAGTATATTAGGAGGAAGGGCTCTTTAAATTATAAACCCCATAATATTTGTGAGATTATTTAATATGGGACTCATAACGTATATCTCTTCTCGGCGTTCAGCGACATGAGCTCATTATTACTTGGTATGAAGGGATTTTTCGAATGAATAAGGTTGTTGAATTGAAAGAACTACTCAAATTTTTTAAGGTTTCGAAATTTTCCAGTGCAACGAAATTATGTACTGTATATTTCTCGAGTGTTTCATCGTCCCACTTATTTTAAAAACTATCAATTCCCATAATCACTCTTTGCTCTCCTAACAACCCCCATTTGAAACATTAACTCTTAACAATATTGCTTTATTCAGTCTTTAATATAAGATTTAGTCTACCAGTAAAAATTACTTAATTATGACATATATCACATGATCTTTTTAAAATATTTATGCGTATCATTAAATTAAATATTATTTTATAAGTTATAAAATTAATTTTGAGAAAATGATAAATATAAATACTTTAAAATAATTTTTTTTTTAATTTCTTTAACTTAGTTAACTAAGTCTTGTATTAAAAACCAGAAGTAATACTACTTTGACTTCTTTTTAATAGTATTTCACCTTGTATCCAAAATAATGCTAAGATAAATTAAGGACATATCCTGGAAAAGGTAAAAGAAATTAGATTGTTTGTTTCATCCGTGTGACATAACTTCCTCTGATTTTATATACATTAAGATACAAATAACTGTATATTAAAGTATCAATTAAAATTAGTTAAACAATAAAAATGTAAAAATATATTTTATTGTCTAAAGACTAAAGTACACTTTTAATTGTTTAAGTTTACATCGACTTTTAATTCAATTTATTAAATTTATAAAGTGTATTTTCAGTCTCTTAATCTTAATATTATTACTCTTACTTAACATAAAATACTGACTCGTTAAATTTAAATAATAACTTTGTAATTAAATAATGAAAAAACATTTAATCCTTTAATATCGTTATTTTTATCTTTAAAAATTAAATCATACCAAC